CAACGCCGCCGGCCCCACGCTCTCCAATGACCTAGCTGCCATGGGTGAGAAGATAAAAAGGGTCTAATTAGCAAATTTTAAATCCAATTTAAATATTTATTTTTGTAGAATAAACCTATTGAATTGTAGTTTCATCTTAACTAACTATAATTGAAATTAAATAATTTAAAATTTGAAATTAAATATAGTTCAACATAGGCTTTAATTCAAATTAAATCCAAACTTAAAAAAGTTATAACTTTTAAACCATAGGGTAAAATTGAGTAATTCTTTTTGCATGATAAATTAGTAACCTAAATTCAAATTTAGTAAATAATTTTGGATCACATTTGACTTTAAGAAATTCAAACATAATTTGAATTTAGTCTAAATCTAGTGGGAACCTATTGACCAATTCATTAGTTCAAAATAAATGAAACCTTTTGCAAATGAATTCATGAACCAACCTTAATCATATATGAATTCATTTCAACGTGAACCCAACATTACAAATTCAAACTCAACTGAATGCAAATTCAAATCTTATTTAAACTCAATTCAATTTGAATTCAAACAAGATAAAACATAATTCAAATTCAAATTGAATTATAACCCAAAACTTAAGTCAACCTATTCAACTTACTTGAACCTAATTTAGATTATTTGAACCAGTTCAAATTCAGATATGAAGTTCAAGAGTTCAAACCAGTTCAAACTTAATTACAAATTCAACTTAAATGCATGTTTATTTATGAACTTCGCTGAAACCAAAATTAAGTTAGTTTGTATTCAATTCAAAAGGTCAATCAAGTTTGAATTATCATTCAAGACATAGTTCATAGACCATAAGTCCAGTTGTGATGATTCTTTTTGTTAATTGAATCTGTCAATACAATATTGCATTACATACCACTTATGTGATGAACCTACCCTATTGATACTTCATGCATGTGAACCCTTGTGTCACATGTATCCCAAGTAACAACTAGTATGTTTTTCCTAATTCTTTATGAGTTGACACATGAACACTTAATCTCACAGCACAATCAACACTGACGCCATGCACTACACTTTATTGTTAAGTTTGATTGTATTGTATGGTTCTTTACGTAAACTCTTTATCAATGATAGATTATTCAAGAGCGAAGAGTAGCCTTACTAAGATTGTGTGTGTCAAGAACTTCTTCAATTACCAAGATTGTGCTTATGTGAAGAAGTTCATGAAGTACCAGGAAAGTTTATACTAGTGATAATGCTTCCCCCATGTTTCACTATGTTGCCATACTATGCTAAACATGGTATAGGTTAACCACATGTTTACCAAGAGTGTCGAGTCCATGATATAGTGTAGGTTTTGGGACTTGTTATCATGTGAATGCTTCATTGCTTGATGCGCTTTGGTGTCCCCATTGAATGCACCAATGATTGGGAGAGCACTTGTATTTCGGGACCATCATTTTCGAGTGATATGTGTCGATGGTTGATGCGCTCTAGAGTCACCATTGACTGAGTGCGCTTGAACATACATGCCCTTTATCATCTCTGGGAATTGGTTGGTTCTCGTCTATGGTTAGAAACGGGAGGTTGGCCAGCTTAGCCTTGGGTAGTCATTAGGTGATTGGACTTGACTGGAAATGGTTTTGACGGAAAGGGTTCTGTTACAAAACAGGTTGGAAACTCTTTTACCTTATATTTTTACTATATAGGATATGTTGTTATTACGTGTAACCTGCCAATACATCCAATGTATTGACCATCGTGGCTGCAACATATCATGCTGCAGGATTTTCCGCATCAAAGGAGAGATAAGAAGTAGGGTTATGATGCTATACTCAATTGCCGCTTGTGAGTAGATGGACGACACATGAGTAGATATTTCTCATGTTATTAAGCTAACCTTGAGCTAGTAGGTATGTAATGTATTTAAGACTGGATCTGTGTTAATACTATGACATGTGATATTTCTTGTTATTTCATCATGATATGTGTGTGCTAGCAATTGATCCTAGGACTGGCACAGAAAGCACATAGATTAGGGGCCCCTACCGGGACTGGGTGGTCACACATATAACCAACCTGAGACAAATTAGGACAAAGCCACCCGTCCACGAGGAAAACCCGGAGAGCGCGAGGTAGCACCCACGGCGCCCCGAGTAGTCCGGCGCATGCACGTATAGCCGGACAGGAGAATTGAACAGTCGAGTGTGCAGATCGGACGACCGAGAGCATTCAAGGGGACAATGGCGGGAGGCTCGCGGGAAACAGACGACTCGCGTGCCGAAGCCTTAGAAGGAGGGTACTCCAGCATTATTTACAAGAGTAATACATCGACACACGACTCTGACTGACGTATGTACGTTGCAAAAAGAAAGTGACAATACACCAGCGGAGAAACCCCCCTCCCCCGCGTTGCCTCCTCTGGCAGCTCGGGGGCAGCCCCATCGCACCGCCGCCGGCCCACTTCCTCTCACCCCCATCCGCTTCGCCGCCGCCGGAGAGGACACCGGCGAAGCAGCGTGTGCCCCAGGGATGGTGGCGGCGGGGCTCCTTTGTGTCGGCGCTCGCCAGCTAGCGGGGGTCCATCCGACGGCGCTGCAAGATCCAGTGTGGTGGGCCTCTTCGCTGGCGTCGAGGGGTGGATCCGGGGCTGCTCAGGCCGGATCCGGTGCGTGGTGGTGCGGTGCTGGTGGTGCGGGGCTGATGGTGGCGGGGTCGAGTGCGCGAGGTCCTGATGGTCCGGTGTCTCGGGGTGGCTCGTCATCGCTCTGTGGTGGGCGCTGGCTGGAGGAGGAGAGGCCCAGCGCAGCTGGCTGGTGATGGCGTGTCACTGCGGAGCGCGCAGGCCGGTGGCGGCTTGGTGTTCCTCGCCACGGAGGCGCTCGAGCCAGGCCAGATCTGCGCTGGCTGGAGGTGAGGGCTCATGGCCGGTGCACAACAGGTGAGGTGGTGATGCGGAGGGCCTGACGGGGTGTGGCAGAGGAGTTGTGGCTCGATCTGGTGGGGGCGGCGCCAGTGGGAGGCAGTGCTGGGTTCTCACGGGCAGGTTGGTGGCGGCGCTGCGATGGCTCGGTCAAGATGGAGTCTTGCGAGCAGCGAGCGGTCGGTCATCCCTGTGCGGCGTGGCGAGCGGCGGTGCTTTCCTGGTGATGCCGGCCTGGGATTTCTCCGTGGAGAGGCGGGTCTGATTGTCGCAAGGCCGTTTCTTGGAGTGGGTGACGGCCGTCGCGGGCAGTCCTGGACTTGGCTGGAGGTGCTGGTTGGCTGCGGACCCACGTGTAGGCTGGGAGTGGATGGTGTGGCCGCGGTTTCCCTGCCGGGTGGTCGGTCGTTGGTCCTCGGCTATGCAGCTACTTCGGCAAGTGCTGCGGTGGCGGCGGTGTGAGGCTTCTTGGCAGTGCTACCAATCCCATGGAGGCGGGGCGATGGGCGAAGCGCGGATGAAAATTTTGCACGGCTTCTGCCGGGCAGGCGGTGATGGCACCTGTGGATGTCATTCCCCTCCTTGGAGGCATCGTCGAGCGTGTTCGCCTCATCCCTCGCGCTCTCGGTGTTGGTGGATGTCTCTAGGTGACAGCCTAGATTCGATGTTCGGATCGGCACGATGGCGGTGTCCTTGACGCCGCTCCTCTGTTGGGAGCATTGTGTTTGGAGACACGATTGGTTCCTCGTTGCTCTCCTCCGGTGTTCGCCGCTATCCTTTTCTGATCTTCAGTGGCGCTATGTACGTTGGTCGTCGGTGTATCCAAGGCAGTGTCTTTCCGGATTGGATCGAGTCCTGCCATTCATCTGCCACTTTCTCTTAGGCGCTCAGGGTGGATGGTGCGTCGACAAAAGAAATTCTGCGGAAGTGTGGTCTTTGGAGGTGCCCGGCGTCGGCCGAGATGCGGTGTTGTGTATCAGTTTAGGATAGGCTTTTTGCATTGTAGCTTGTCTAGCGGTGGTGTTTGTTTGTGGTCTTGTCGGTGTGGTGTTCGTCCTACACTCGTTGTTCGCATCAAGCGGTAGCTTTCTTGTAACTAAATTCTGCCTTCTATAAAACTATGCTACGCTTGGACGTACTCTCGGAAAAAAAATACATCGACACACAAAAAGGGTGCAGACCTTTTGAGTGTACGAACATGGTTTGGGCATACATCGCATGATTTCTAATGTTAAAACTTGTGGATTTTTTTTCTTTGTAAACACAGTTAAGAATTATTTGTGGTACATCCTCTGTTACAAACAGGAAGGGAGGAGAACTTTTTTTGTTTCTTCTACATGCTCTGTTCTACGAAGTGGAGGGTGAGAGAGTTGTACGGACGCGATAGTTCGGAGACGTCAAGCTTGGTGAGGAGATGGGGTTGCATTTTGGGACAAACGGCCATCTTTTTTGTCGCCAAATCGTAAGCGTGCAGCTACGCACAGCTCCGCCATGCAGCGCGCGGTGTCGTCGTCAGAGCTTGGAGTAGAGCTGCGGCGTGGACCACTTGAAGAACTTGCCGGTGGGGAGGTCGGCAGGGGGCAGCAGCGCGAGCCCCGCGGCGACGCGGCCGGCCTCCTCGGCGGTGCGCTTGCCCCACCCCCGCGTCATGTCAGTCCGCGTGAACCCGGGGCAGAAGCAGTTGACAGCTACGGCCCCCCGCAGCCGCGCGGCGAGGAGGCGGGAGTAGGCGTTGAGGGCCAGCTTGGAGACCGCGTAGTCCGTCCACACGGCCGGCCACCCGTGGTCCTGCCACGTCCCGTCCTTCACCTGCGCCAGGAACCGCGACGCCATGGCCTCGACCTGCTGCTCCGTCAGCCTGCCCTCGTCCAGCAGCATGCTCCTCAACGACGGGTCCCTCACCTTCTGCAAAAAGATCAACACACAACGATTTATTTCTGAAATTTGGCCTGCCAAAACTGCATCCTCTTGTGCATGTCCCATAGCAGTTACATATACTACTAATGAACTCTGTGTTGAGCATGGAATTGGACATTGTTTCAGAATTCAGATGGCCTTGGACTAGCTGGTCACGGTGTGGACACAGGACACTGATGAAGTCATGTGCTCTGACAGTGTGACTCAAGAGAATTGGCATTGTCTCTGGAGGAGAGTTTGTGCGTTCAAACTTCAGAGTCCACAGCCGATCGCTGAATCAGCTGATAGCGAGCTCATAGTCAAGCTGTTTGCCCCCTTAATCAAATGCTATTTATTTAAACCTGATCTGACCCGCAAAATAAACAAGGTTTTGAGTCATCAGTCATCACTGGCATGTGCGCAGCGCGCTCACTCTTTTAAGTTCCCACTCGCTTGACAACTAGTGTGAGCATGGGAGAAGAAGATTTGGTTCCAAAATCATTATTCATATAGTATAACCTCTAACGTAAACTGAACCGTCTGAACGTGTTATTTGCCTCATGCTGCACAAAACGTGCTAGTGTTAAATAAGTAGGAGACGACAAGTACAGTACTGCTAGTTTACTTAACAGCATCATCGCTTACATTGAGAAGGCCAAGCTGGGAGCTGAGGTTCAGGATCCGGCTGGTCCCAGAGGATCGACGGAAAAGGGGCAGGAGCGCCTCGATGAGCATCTTGGCTCCATAGAAGTTCGTCTTTAGGACTGTCTCAGCATGCTCCACCGAGTTGGTGTCGATCTCGTTGAACGATACCCCGGCATTGTTCACCTGCAGGAGGCAAGAGGCTTGGTTTCAGAATCACATAACTCATGTCAGGCTAAGAAGATTCCTGGGGTTTGGCTACCAAGAAAACAAATCCTGAAAGCATGTGATTGTGAGGTGGTAGCCCTGGTAGGTTACATCTACCATGCACCAATTCAGCATCTTATTTTCCCTTTGTTCTTTCTGGTGGAGCTTTTGCTGTCTTGCTGATAAGGCCTAGAATTAGGAATTGTGCTATTTGGGCTACTGGCCTACTACTATGCAGCTTTGCCCTAATTTAACTAAGCGTTCCAGATAGTACTGGTGACAGCTGATGACGGATAAGTATCAACAAATTGATACGGTGGTTAAGACAACTGGATAATCTACCTAGTTCAGTAACTTATTCACTGTCATTTCTCCAATAACAGGATTATGATTATGGTTTCTTTCACTCCGTTGAACAAAAAGCTTACAGGAACATTCTTATAGAGAAATATTCAGGAACAACAATTCACTATAGAAGAAGATTTTTTTTAAAAAAAAGACCTTTTCACATATCCGCAAAAAAACTAGGAAAAGAAGATGAAAACTCCGTTGATACTTTGTGACGTTAGCACAGATATATGATACTATAAATCAGCGCCGGGATCGATGATGTTGCGATATAATGTTTGATGACCTGGATTGTAGCGACTAGCGACTGACGCAACTTGCAATTATCTTATACTGACTCATCTGAAGAACAGCTAGCTCTTGTACTTGCCTGTTCCATGGTCATGGAACACAAGCTTGTGATATTACTAGTTTGTTCGCCGCCCTCACGTTGCCAGCAACGGCGATTGCATCGGAAAATAATAGTAATATCTGGATCGAACTGCATGCAGTGGATCTTCGCATTGTTCGTTTCTCGTTTCTAAAAAAACGAATCGTGTATCATCTGGCTCGTGGACTTTGGACCACACTGCCGATTAGTTTAAATCGAATCCCTCAACAGACAAGATATGCAGGGATCGATTACTGTAGCGGAATGCACGAAGCATCTATGCGGTATCTCGATCGACACAAGCAAGAGGCTGAGGCTCACATCTAATTCCGGCACCTTGTACAAGCTATACAAATATCAAAATCCTTATTTTTATTATCCTAAGAAGAAGAAGAATTGTGATCGATTTGGTGACCTAACAGAAAGATTGTTGCATGAGTTCACCATAGTTAGGATAATAAAATTGCCGACCTATTAAGTGCCAAGATCACTATCGACGACGCTTTCTTACGGCGTACATGAAGGGAGAAGAAAAGGTCAGCTGATTACTGCACTCAGCGCCTCGTGGCGACGTGGCGTGCCCTCGTTGACCCGCTGTTACCGGTGATGACTTGGCTCTAATTTCGGCTGTGGAGTGACGTTTGGGTTAACAAGTCTGTTCCACTGAAACACTACCTCTTGAAGTTACTGGTGGTTGCAGTCTGTCATAGGGTTTCTGTGGGCCAACGGATGTTTTAGTTCACGATCATAAACTGTACCCAACTACTGTACCAGATATACTTCACCGGCATGCCTTATTTAGCATAAGCGCATTTTCTCTTTAGAAACGGCATATGCACATTTAATTTAGCAGAAAGTAGCTGGGCATGCTTTGCAAAAGGACATATGTTATTGTTAGTGGGGTGGGAGTTGCAAATTTTGTCTATAGTGGATCGGAGTAGTATGACAGTACTTGTCATTTGGGGCAAAAAGGGGGTAGAGTAGTATGTATGCATGGTAGACTATTAGGTAAGCCAACCCCTAACCCTAATTACGTATACAATCGGGTGGTTAACATGGCTCATTAATTGATAAACAGCTAATTTAGCACACCACATTTTTTTGCCGGGGTAGGGGGGAGGGGGTCACGTGAAACTTCAAATCAAATTAACCCTGCCGGAGAGAGGAAAATGGCAGGCGGCGGGAATTCAGGGGAGAAGCATGGGAATAGACGGCGAAAAATAGACGATCGTGCGGCTCACCAGAATGTCGAGGCCGCCGACGTGGTCGCGGATCCAGGAGGCGAAGGCGGCGACAGAGGCGGGGTCGGTGACGTCGAGGCAGCGGAAACGCACGGACGGGAGACCCCTGGCGCGGAGCTCGGCGGCGGCGGCCTCCCCGCGCGCCTCGTCCCGCGCCGTGAGCACCACGGACAGCCCCTGCTCCGCCAGGCGCGCGGCCAGCGCGTGCCCAATGCCACGGTTGGCCCCCGTTACCACCGCCACCGTCTCGCCGGTCCACCACGCCCTGATCGATAACCAAAGTTAATCATGACACAAAACAAAGTCAACCACAAATTACATCTCACTGACGCCAATACATACACACAAATATACACGAGTTAGTTAGAGAGTTACTTGTGCGGTGGCGTCTCTTTGGAACTCGAGCAGTCCATGGACGATAGAGGGAAGGAGGAGCACTGGACAGGATTGCCTCGATGGAAACTGGAAAGAGAGGTCAGGTACGGGAGAGCCAAGCAAAGCTTTGGAGTGGGATGTGGAGTGGAGGAAGACAACGAGAGCGGGGTATATATAAGGACGGCAAGCCAGCAGTTGCAGTGACAGGCAGGGCAGGGAGCGCGCGCAAGTGGGTGCGTGTGATTTCAATATGATATGCCGGCTCAGTTTTCCGGAGGTGCTCATAGGGGTAGGGTGTGCGTATGTGCGTTCATAGGGATGAGTTTATGCGCGTGTATATGAGCGCTTGTGTCTGTACTGATGTTCAAAAAAAAAAGTTGCGGTTCGGCTTCGGGGCGATCGAGCCGGTCAACCGAGTATGCGGTCCAGGGCCACAGTGAGTACTGTCTGACTGCGCCCTATTGCACGAATTTCAATTTACCGTTTCACCTCGTTTTATATATAAAGCAATACGACCGATACAACGTAGCGAGGAAACCCTCTTACAAAGCAGATCATTAAAAATAATAAACATACAAATAGAAGTAGCAACACCCCAACAAAAAGCACTCCAGACTACCAAGTAGGCGAGGAATCGCGAGCCTCCAGAAGAAACCACCGGACATCCCTTGCAATGCACACACCAAGCTGTTGTTGGAGAGAGCCCCTGCTCTCTCACTCCGGGCGGTGGAGCGCCGATCCTGCCAGCAGACACCAAGGACCAAGAACGATGCCAACGAAGTCACGTGTAAAAGATAGGATGCAGTGAGACCACCCTACACCAGAGGCAAAGGAACTTCCAGCCGGGATCCGAGCTTGCCCAACAATGACGATGTGCCACGAACGAAGAGAACTTGAGCTCCACGACGACGCCCCCAAGAGGGTGACAGATACAATACGCCGTTGCCGTCGAGACCGAAGAAACGGTCAAGGATTTTCACCCGGAGCCCTGGCACAGGAAAAAGGGACCTCGACGACGCCCCCAAGAGGGACACGACACCCACAGGCATCGTCGTTGCCGGCGACGAAGCGCTGAGCTTTCACCCTGTGCCTCACCCATGCCACATCGAAGTGCCCTAGTCACCAAGCCAGCCAACACCAAATCAAGCATCCACATCACGATCAGGAGATGTCACTGCCGAAGCACCGCCATCATTAGGATCCCCCGCCACCCCACTCCACGCCATCCACACAGCCACGGAGAGAAGCCACCACCACTACAACGCCGCCCGCTGCAAAGCCAAACGTGTAGTCCACCTTCCAGGGCCGCCGCTCTGGCATCCAAGTGCTCGCATCCCCACACCACCTTCAGCAGCACGCCGACGAGGGAATCAACCACTAGACAGTGATGGAAAGACACCTCTTTCACATCCGGAGGGCCCCCGGCCACCCCTCCCATGCCATGCCAAGCCCCCAAATCAAACTTGCCACAGCCGAGGGCCAGCCAACGCAGCGGCGCACTGGCACCACAGGCTGCTCCGGATGACTCCAGCCACCCTGGGTGCTCTGTAGAAGAGGAAAACCATGCTGAGCAGTGGATCTGTACCGGAGGGCAGCAGAGCGCCAGCATGCACCCGCCGTGATCGAGGGAAAAGGGAGGAGGCACCGGGCCCAGGCGAGGCGAGAGCACCCGCCGCCGCCGACAACCACCAAGGGCTTTGCCTTAGCGGCGCCTGTTAGAAGGGAGAGAGGGATTTGGTGGAATAGTTGTTGTATTGCTTGAGCCTCGTGGGCATATATATATATAGGAGTACATGATCTTCTTGGAATACAAGGCAAGGTAGAATAATATCATACGCTATCCTATCTTTCCTAACAATCAATATACTCAACACCCCCCCGCAGTCACAACGGTAGTGAGGCAGACGGTGAGACTAGAGAAGAATTCGCAGGGAAACCGGTGGACACCCCCCCCCCCAGTCGTAATGGTCGATGCATCACGGAAGTCGTGGCTGGAGTGGAAACCGATGAGGTTGCTCAAGCAAGGTGGTAGCCCTTTGTGTCGTTTATCTAATTTGCCGAGAGCGTAGGGTGGTGTAGTCATGGCTGAGGGAGCCATGCGAAGAACGACGTGGTCAATGTCGAGTCATGGTAGCTGGTGTCGAGGATGTCGCCGTCGAGTCACGGGCGCAAGGAGGCGCCGAGTTAGTCATGGGCGTAGTGGTGTCGAAGTAGTGTGTGTCGGGTAGATGATGATGTTGACGAGGCATCGCGTCAGGTTTGACAAACTCGGGGACACATCGTAGACGAAGGCACACCTCGGTGTTGCCAGCACCGGGCATGCGTAGATGGACGAAAACGAAGTTAATGAAGTGCCACACCAGGCTTGCTAGCCCCAGGGACACACCGTGGACGAAGGCACGCATCGGTGTTGCCAGCACTGGGCAAGCGTAGAAGAGAGACCTACACGAGCTGTATGCCATGTCGAGGAGTCGGAGGGGCCAGCAGAGAAAGACCCGATGACGGTTGCGGTGCCAATCGACGCGGGGTCATTATCGCCCGCAGTTATCGGAGTAGATGACGTGGTCGGGGTAGATGACGGTGACATTGGCGACGGGCTGGTGGTGGACGAAGACGAAGGCGTGGACTGGCAGCAGCGGCGACGGTCTAAGAAGTGCGGCGACGGCTAACTTAGGAGTGCGGCGGCGGTGCTCGAAGAAGACGAGGAACCTGACAGCGTGACAAAGACCAGCACGGACAGTGGTGTTCCCGCGCCAAGGAAGGCGGCGCAGCACATACCACAGGAAGTTGACGCACATGGACGGCGAAGTGGATCGCGTTCCGTGGTGCTACGGCCTGAAGGGGCGACGCAATGGCAGCAGGCGGGTCGGGGCGACAACGGGAAGACCTCGGGTCGGCAGCGGGGACCGCGGGCCATAGCGCTACAGCCCAAAAGGGCGGCACAGCTGCGGAGCACGGGTCGGTGCAACAACGGGGACTGCCTCGGGGCGGCGGTGAGGACCACGTGTCGTGGCACTACGATTCGAAGGGGCAACACAGTGGTGACACGCGAACGGTGCAGACATAGAGAGAACCATGGAGTCGTGGCGCTGCGGCCCAACGGGGCGACACAGTGGCAGCCCGACGCTCGATCGGTGTAGAGTCGCACTGTACTCAAGACGGTCTTCACAGGGCCTACGGAGGCGCGCGCAACCGATGGTCCAGGTCGGTAGCACGGCGTAGATGAGGTGGATCGCAACGGCGAGCGGGTGATCAAGCTGATCGCGTGCGAGGTCGGAGACGCAGCTCGGTGGAGGCGCGGTGGTGGTGGAGCCCGAGATGAAGTCGGCGACAACGGACGACGTGACATGACGTGTGGATGAACGCGACAGCACCGGCATCCAGGCTGCCAAAGCAGTGCTGGCGCCCCGGCAGAGAGGCCCGAGCGACCAACGGAGCAGCGGCGCCCAAGCTCGAGGTAGCCGATGAGCCGTACGCAGCCGGGGACGAGGCCGGCGAGGCAGACCGCAGGGCCGCCGTGCAAACATGGTGGAGGTGGGTGCAGTTGGAGAGGTCCCAGTCAGAGCAATGCGGCGACGGCCGGTGCAGGGCGTCTAACAGTGACGGACTGCCTCGGCGCGTGTGGCGTCGGGTCGGAGGAGAGGCCGTCTGGTCACGTCGGTGTCGGAGTAGAGGTGTGTGGGGGTCGACGGCGGTGGCGGATGACGCAAAACGATCTTATATCAGAAAACCAAAAAGAAAACGCTGATCAAGATGACCGGCGGGAGAGAGCCCTGGAGCATGTGCCTGGGAAAAAGGCTCTCTAGGACAATTGGTCAACACGACCGACAGACGAACCCTGTACAGGCGCCGCGGCCCCCGACCGCGGTCATGGAGGCTGACCGCCCCAAGGGCGGCACACGGGGTGGAAGCGGCGGCGGCTAGGGTTTAGGATCGAGGTAAGGCTCATACCATGTTAGAAGTGCATGCTCAAGCAATACAACAACTATTCCACCAAATCTGTCTCTCCCTTCTAACATGGTATCAGAGTCAAGAGGTCTTGAGTTTAAAATCCGGCTGGTGCAGTTAAATTGCAGCTCACTTTCGGTCCACGTTTAGGCCCAGAGGAGCCACACGTGAGGGGGGGTCTTGACGTATAAATGTATTGTCTAGTCTCTTCCATCAGATCGGTCTTTCGGTTGCATTGGCTAGAGCATGCACTTCTACAGCACCATCCGGCGGCGGCGGAGAGGAGAGTGGAGAAGGAGGGCTAACTGAGCGGAGGTAGGGTCGCCGCCCGAGTCGCCCGCGGGGCGACGCAGGGTTACCTAGGGTTGGAGTAGCTCTCTCGCTATTGAGAATTCCAAGAGGGAGAAATTCAAGTTTCAACTTTACCACAACATCTACGATCAGACCCTTCCAATCCCGGTCGGTCGCGAAAATGTGACCCAACTGACCCCTCAACTGATGGAAGGACTCATGCGGAAAGCCATGTGTCCACCGGGCGCCCCCTGCGCATGAATTCATGGCGCCAGTCCGATGCGCCGGCCGAAAGGCTAAATCCAGAAATTTAAGTCGGTCGGCGAGCCAACCCGTGCCCGTCCCCATTCCCCTCCACTTCCTCACATTTGTCGCTCCCGTTGCTCCCTCCTTTCCCACTTCCACTTCCAATTCGACCTCGCCGCCATCCGCCATGGTCCAGTAGAAGATCACATATTATATGAGGAAATATATTGGAATTTGCAAATAGAGCTCGGCCTCCATGGAGCCTGATTTTTGAGAAATTCAAAAATAAATTATTGTTTTCATAACAATCTTTAAAAATCACAGATGTATATAGTGATGTATACTACAAGTCTGTGAATTATCATGATGAAATTAGTTCTGATGTGAGTAACAAAAAAAACTAATCCATGATTCTCTAACACATGTACTATTCACAATAAAAGTTCATGTTTTCTCTTATGTAGACCACATCAAAATATATTTCATCATGAAAATTTACATAGATCAAGTATACACCACTATATACATGCATATGTTTTTCATAATTGTTTGA